GCTATAGTCCCTAAAACAGTTTGGTATTGGCACCAATGTAGACAGGTAGGCCAATGGAATCCAATTCAAAACCCTGATATTGACAGACACAGCTACAAATACCTGATTTTTGACAAAGAAGCAAAAGTTATACAATGGAATAAAGAAAGCATCTTTAACAAATGGTATTGGCATAACTGGATGCTGGTAGGTAGAACACTGCAGACAGATCCAAGTCTATCACCAGGTACAAAACTTAAGTCCAAATGGATCAAAGACCTCAACATAAAGCCAGCCACACTGAACCTATCAGAAGATAAAGTGGAAAATAACCTTGAACGAATTGGTACAGGAGACTGCTTCTTGAACCTTATACCAGTAACACAGACATGGAGAGCAACAATTGATAAATGGGACCTCCTGAAACTGAGAAGCTTCTTTCTGTAAGGCAAAGTACACAGTCAGCAAGACAAAACGGCAGCCCACAGAATGGGAAAAGATATTCACCATCCCCACATCTGACAGAGGGCTGATCTCCAAAATTTACAATAACTCAAGAAGTTTGTTTCCAAAACACCAAATAATCCAATTAAAAAGTGGGGTACAGAATTAAATAGAGATTTCTCAATAGAGGAATCTAAAATGGCTGAAAGACACATAAGAAAGTGCTCAACATCCTTAGACATCTGGGAAATGCAAATCAAAATAACTCTGAGATACCATCTTGTCAGAATGGGCTAAAATCAAAAAAGCAATGACAGTTTATGCTGGAGAGGATATGGAAAAAGGGAACACTCCTCCCCTGCTGGTGGGAATGTCAACTTGTATAGCCACTTAGGAAATCAGTATGGTGATTACTCAGGAAAATGGGAATCAGTCTACCACAAGATCTAGCAATTCCACCCTGTACCCAAATGATGCACCTTCATACAACAAAGATATCTGATCAACGATGTTTATCACAGCATTATTTGTAATAGCCAGATCCTGGAAGCAACCTAGATGCTCCTCAACTGAAGAATGGATAGAAAAAATGTTGTACTCTCATACAATGGAGTACTACTCAGTGGAAAAAAAGCAATGAATCTTGAAATTCGAAGGGAAATGGATGGAACTAGAAGAAACCATTCTGAATGAGGTAACCCAGTCACAAAAAGACAAACACGGCATGTGCCACTCATATATGGATTATAGACATAGAGCAAAGGATTTCCAGCCTGCAATCCACACTACCAGAGAAGCTAGGAAACAAGGATGACTCAAAGAGAGATATCCTTGGTCCCCTAGAGAAGGGGAAAGGGCCTAGATCTCCGGTAATACATTTTTACTCATCACCTTTCCTAATGGAAGTTGGAAAACACATTTTATGACAAAAATTCCTAAGTGAAATATTAAGATATATTCTGCCCATATTCCAAACTCCAGCAAATTGCATAAGTAGGAAGGTAGGAAATAAAGTTTCAGTTAGGTGCTTTATTCAAAAAATTTCAAGGGATGTAAATAGAAAACCAGAATTTGACAACAGTCTCTATCATCTTATCTCCCAAGCAAGATAGAAAATCAGAAAAGTTATACCTAGACAGTGTAACTTGAAGAGGAGTATATGATGTGAACAGCTGTGAAGTACTATGGGGCATTGCAGGATAAATGGCATGAGAGAAAAAACATTGATAGGAATAAGAAGATAGATTTTGTTTTTTCAAATAAGGTTTTTATTTTTAAGGATTCAGTAGCCCAACTTTCAGGAGATCATAGTTTGTAAGAAAAAATAGAATTAATTCTTAAATGCTATTTTGGAACACAATATAAGCAGTCTTAAATTATATACCAAGAGATGAATTTTTCTTCTTAGTGAAGACTTTGGGCATGATTGAAGTCTTTTCTTATACATAGATGTGATAGTACAGGAATTATTCTACACTAAAACTGATCAGCAACAGTATTTAGAGAGGAAGAAAACATTTCAGTTAAACGTACCTAGTCTCCTTATAAACCTATTGCTGCACACTGCGTAACTTTAACTAGCATATTATATTATAGCAATGGTCAAGGAGAACAGCTGGAGATCCCCAGGTGTAGTAATGTAAATTGACAATTATTTCTAGATTAGGTTACAGAGGTCATGGAATGTGAAGAAAGAATGATGACTCAAAGCCTGTTGAGACTCAATGAGCAAAGTGTTAGTAGGCTGCTGTTCACTTAAAGATGGTGTAAATTGATGGAGCTGCAGTGGATAATCAAGGGGAGATGTGATGACCATTGTGAATTAGGACTGGGGATTTTGTGAGTATTGTCAAGCACAATACTGAATTGTCGAAAACCAACTTTATATCAAGTATGAAGTATGAACAATTAAGGAACTAAATCTATGTGTAAAAATATAAATTTGTAGTCAAATCATGTTTTGAATATGAGTGTGAACTGGGAGGGAAATATAGATATTAATTGAAGCAAAATCTATTGGAAATGCAGAGGGTAGATATACGTTGAAGATAGAAGATAGTTGCCTTAGGGAAAATTAAATAGAAACAGAATTAGAACTACTGACAACTGTGAAAGGAACAAAATAGACATGGAAATCAGTGGGCTCTGTGAGGGGCAAATGTTACCTGGAAGCAAGATGTGAAGAGTCAAGGTGACTCATGCAGTCACTGCTAGATTATCATGTAACTGCAGACACAGGAAATATATCTGTTTGCATCTTTTGGGCATATAGTCCTTCTGTATTTTTTTTTAAGCAGAAAATAATCTTGCGAAATATGTGCAGTGTTTGCTTAAAGTGTCTGTTTTCCTACATTCATTACTCTCTTCAATTTAAATTATGAGAATCCTTCACCATGGAAGGGGCATGATCAGGGGAGGCAAGACTGAGGTTTTCTCCCTTTGCTCTTTCTTCTCCCTTTTCCTTCCCTTCTCCTTTCTTTGACTCAATTCTCACCCTTTTTCTTCCTGCCCTTCTTCCTTCCTTCCTTTCTTCCTTCGTTCCTTGCACATAACTTCTATAATTTGGAAAGAGAAGTTATATTTATATTTATGCTTCCACCTCTCTGACGTTACCACACCATCTCTTTCCACTCAACTTATAACATACCTAGATTGTCTTTTTCAAGTTCATGGCTCCAAAATCTTAAGAACTTAGTTATAGCACATAGATAATTTTTATGATGATCTGTGCTTCTGTATCTAAGATCTTCAATTTTTAAAGAATAAATCTAACTCCGCAAGCCAGCTTTATGCTTATAGTTAACAGGCTTTCAAGAATAAAAATGGAATATTTTAATTTCCAACATTTAAATATGCCAATTAAAAATACAGATTAGGTGAAATCATATTAGTCAAACTTATTCGTACAGTACTTTCATTATGCCAAATTAATGAGCAATCCCTAAATATTATAATGATACTAGTATTCCTTTTTTCATTCTGGAGAGTTAAGTCTTACTACTCATTTTATGTTAAGTATATAAATTGGGTTATAGGTAAAGAAATTGGGTTATAAGTTCTGGAGATGTGTCTCCTATTTGCAGAACCCTCTTTTATCCAAAAGATCACATTTCCTTTCATATGAAAGAAGATTTTAATACTTTACAATAGTAATATTTTTAAATAAATAAAATGTATATAAGATGATTGGCAATATTCTGTCACTCAGAAATATGTTTTAAATAGCACAGACTCTTCTTACTAGTCTAAAAGAGATTAAAGGATTTAAATAAAATTAATATCTACCAACAAAGCCTGTTCTATTGTAGGGAAACACCTATCAAATCATATCAGAATGTTTAATTACTGTTCAATCAACCTTTCTGTTCAGGGTGTCAGTTCAACTTAGAACACCAAACAAAACACTTCTTTGTTTGTCAAGCAGAGACTATTAAGACAAGAATGTTCTGAAACTGCATTTAAAAGATGAAAATGGTTCATTTGATCTTTTGAATTTTTAATATCAAAAGATTATTCGTGAAGAAAATTAGGGTCTCTGAAATGACAAATACATTATTCTGAAAAACTTTGATTAAAAAAATAAGATTTGTAAAATACTTCCCTAAAAGATGTGTCTAATATACTAATTTAGTTTATAAAGAGTGGCTTTAAAATGTGAGATATTGGGAAAAAAATTTATTAGCATAATAATTAAACAAAATGCATTTAACTATGGGAATGGTATTTTGTAGAGTCTCTTAATTGATAACTGAATTACCATAAATCACTTTATGTATATATATGAAATATTTTGAAAATTAGTTGTGAACTATTGGAAAATTATCAATAATATTTCAAAAATCATCAGTACTTGGCCTTAAGATACAAATGTGCTTTATTTTTAACACAATGATTCAAATGAATTACAAATTTGCAAACACAGAATTAACAAATAGGCAGCCTCAATTGTCTGTTTCTAACATTCACTGACATCATATATATTGGGATGTGATCTGACATCTACATGCATGCCAGGACCTTATGAAAATGTGAGAGTTTCTGATTTTGATGGTCAGAGTTGAGTTTATTTCACAAATCTGTAAATACAACATACTGTTCCTTACATACGTAAATATACATTGATTATTTCAATATCTGTCAGCTTGATGATGTCTATTATATAACAACACTTTTTATAATTTTCTCCTTTCACCACTATTACATCTTTAAAATACTCATGTAATAAAATCTTTGATGCTTTGGTGGTTTTCTAGGTATTAACAAAGATTTTAAGAGAGTCCTGTATATGTAGATGCCTACATTAAACTATGATTTATTAATTAATATACATACGTCCTTATTCCAATTGCAATAGAGTGAAGAATGACACTTCTTACATTAATGTGTAAATGAACTATAGGGAATGGATATTTTAAATTCATACTGTTGTCAAACATATGAAATCTTGTGATAAAAATGCCTCATTTCTGGTTTTGTTTAATCTTACCTACTTTTGTTTCTTTTGCAGCAAAAATGTTGGATAGAATCTTCTCACTGCTATTTAAATATATTCTTTTTTTTTCTGTCAATTACCACAGGTTTAGTCCCTATGAGTGGTATAATCCACACCCTTGCAATCCTGACTCAGACGTGGTGGAAAACAATTTTACCTTGCTAAATAGTTTCTGGTTTGGAGTTGGAGCTCTCATGCAGCAAGGTATACGATTCAGCCTGCTATTTCCTTTGGGCACCATGTCCCACTCTTTGCTGGGGGTGACAGCTCTCACTGGCACAAGTCACTTGCATGGGTAGCCTCTGTGCATGTAACCATAATCCAGCTTCTCCATCAATTTAATGCATTTAGGCCTTCTCAAATCCCATTTCAGAGAGATTATGAGAAAACAGCTCTGCAAATCCACATAGAATATAATCATCTAAAATATTTATTAACCCACTGCAGGAACATTACTCCATAGACAAGCAAGCTAACCCGATTCATTAACTGGAAGCTGCACTGAAATCAATACTAAAATTACATCTCCTTGAGGCAAGAATCCATTCTACAATTCCTGTTTCCTGTCTCAATTTGATGTAAAATATTCTCCTCTTTCATATTAATTCTTTATTAGATGCATCTGTATTGCATGATTACTAAATTGCATATAAATTTGTAAATTTAAATATTAATCCCTTTAAAGATATATTTTTAGATAAAATATTAGTTATACTTGATAACTTGTAAGAATATAAAATACTGCATGCCTAGGAGTGAATGCAAAATGTATTTATTACATTATTTAAAATTAATAATATAAAGTTTAAAAGTAAAAACTATAGTTTAGAAAAATGATAGAGTATATGTAATAATATGTCTATATGGTTTCCATTATTTATTCATTACTGGCTTTCCCAATTAGAATTTTCATGGTGTGGTTTATTTTGTTAATATTATGATATTAAATAAAGTTCCAACAATTATCATAAATACATATTACAATGAAATAATATTTTGGCCAAAGCTATAGTATATATTGTAAATGTAATTTTTTCAGTCTTAAAGTTACTAAATAGAGCCAAATGTCAAAAATTTCAGCAATTGATGATAAGTGGAATAAGACGAAAGTGTACATTATGTATTAAGTAGTCACTTTGAAGAAACTCATTTAATGATAGTTTTAAGATATGGAGAGTGATTATTTACTATTTAATTATAAAATGACTATATAAAATGTACTATGCGATTGCATGTTTAATATTATGTATAAACCCATTAAGTGACAACTATTTCATTCATAATCGATTTCCTCAAGTGAGAATAGTTGTTAAAAGAAAAAAAATATCTTAACTTGACATTAAACAATATTTAATATATATTATAAGAAAATCCTACTAAGCTGATCTACATTTGTGGCATCTCTTTCTAAATAATGCCAATGCATTCTCCCTTTCCCTCACATTGGGTCTAAGGTAAGGAGGGTGTCTTTCCTCATTATTAGGCTGACAAGTTGGAGTTATCTCATGACTTTATCTGTGGAGTGGAGTAGCATAATCTACCTAGGTAATCTGCTAACAGGTAATTTCAGGTGTCTGCAGCAACTGATCCTCATAACCAGGGTCAGACCAAAACAGCATGGTTCTTTTTAAATTTTGATAGCAATATGAAAACTAAAATATTCCTTCTTGAACTATAAGTTGCTAAAATTTGAAAATCTTTGAGAGTCAGTCAATTTACAAAATGAACTTAATTATTAGTGATAGAAATTAAAAATATGTCTATCTGCATATCTATAAAGATAAGTAATCAAAACAACAGGGATTTCAGAAATGCATTTGCTTGGCCATGTCCTCAACTCACGGCTGGTGGATACATGAAAGAGGAACCCATCCTTTCTGGCTGATGCCCCAATCCCCAGGAATTAGTGGGATATAGTGCTGGACATGACGTTGCCTTGAGTACATGACAGTCAGCCCCTAACCAGGCTCTGATTCACAAGCCTAGGAGGTGTCTCGAGAATTTCAGTCTGTGGGTAAGATACAAACTTGTAGTAATTGGGACAGTTTTGTCAAATATCCTCCATCCACTATGTTTTTATTTCCTAGTCTTTTTTTACTTTATTGTTTGTTTTGTTAATAAACTAACAGTAAAACATGCAGCCAAAGCTGCTGATCGTCTTGGGTATTAGTGTTTCAGTGTCCGAGTGTGTGTCTGGCAGGGCCTAGGAGCAACTACACCAGAAAGGTACCATGCTGTTTGTTTTGTTTTGCTTTTCTTCCTGTACAGAGTGGGAGACAAGAGTCTGGAGCTGGAGTTGGCTGTCATGTCCAAGTCTGTTTGCTTTTAAGATTTTATATTTTCAAAATTGCTAGGGTAAGATGAACTGAAGTGTAAGATGGGCCATTTTATATAGGATTCTAATGCCAGCACATATTTTTTACGTTAGCATCAATAATTTGTTTTATTTTCATTACCTCTAGAATATTATTTCCTTGTTGCACAGGTGATTACATTAAAGGTGTGATTGTAAAACACAGCAGCAAAATGAGTTCATCTTTGCTTCATTACATTTTACTCAAGTCCAATAAATATTAACTACTTCGTAGTCATGCTTTTCTGATTATACATTCAAAATGATTAAAAGTGGATGGTAATATATTTATATATATTGATGAACTTAGTATATACTTTAAGCAAGAATACTATGTTCTTATATAAGATATAATTAATTAAAATTTAAATAAGAGACAAGATTTTACATTTTAACATTTTCTTTTATAAACTAAATAATCTAAGATTAATAACGATGAAAACTAAAATATATTTAGCAGATCCCATTCTCAGTAATATCATGGTCAGGCAACTCCAGCCATTTAATTGTGATATATTAATGCAATATTACATGTGTATAAAGATAAATTTGTGCTTATTTACTCACTTATTTGCCTTAATGAAGGCTAAACTTCATAATGGGAGATATTTGCTTAATCACAAGTTATTTAACTTGTTATTTTATATTAAAATGAGTACAGGCCTAATACCTTACACCTTTGTAAGGCATGTGATTAAATTAAATATTTTATCTCCATACATCATTGCTATTTAAATGGTAAAGTATTGTTTCTTTGCCATTTGTCTAACTAAGATCAGGTATAAATAATGAAGCAGACATCGTTGAACTGTCATTGAAAAAATAACTTTAACAAATATATTAAGAAAATGGACCTGAATCTGCATTCAGTAATTAGTTCTGAAAACCACTTAAATAGTAAAAATAGGGGGAAAATGCATATGCTTTATGAACTGCATGGGTTTATACTCCTCCCTTCTAATGTTACTTTTCTAAGACTTTTTACATGTTAATGTTTTAATTGTCACAAGGAGCCATCTGAGGTAAGGCCATTTCCTATCACTATACATGATACATTGTTCCCAGAAGTGGCATAGTACTAAAATTGACCTCTGCTCTTCCAAACGCTGTTGCTTACTTACTGAAGCAGTGTGTCAGTCTTTCTTTGACTTAAACTTTTATTACACAGTGATCCCTTTCTTCCACTGTGACCAAACATGTCTGAAGGCTGATCCAATTGTCTATATTCGTTTCACCTTTCCCCTACTCTCTGTTAGGTTCTGAGCTCATGCCCAAAGCGCTCTCCACCAGGATAGTGGGAGGCATTTGGTGGTTTTTCACACTTATCATCATTTCTTCGTACACTGCTAACCTAGCCGCTTTTCTGACCGTCGAACGTATGGAATCTCCTATTGACTCCGCTGATGATTTAGCTAAGCAAACCAAGATAGAATACGGAGCAGTAGAGGATGGTGCAACTATGACGTTTTTCAAGGTAAGTCTTACTTGCTACTGAAACATAGCCACGAAAGCACAAACAATCTTTTCTACTTATAAATGTAATGATGCAGTTATACCATTATTTGTGCCATATAAATAATAGCATATAACTTATGGAAAGATAATTGTACAACTAAAAATGTGCCCATAATGTCGAATTTTATTAATACTTGAAGCAGTGAGTACAAATGCCCAGATGTTTTTTATTGAATATTTAGAAAGAATGAATTAGGAAATTTAAAATTTAGTATATTTCATAATTGATAGTAAATTAAAGTTTTTCCAAAGGTGACATTTTAATGAGATTTTAAATTTGAGTGAAAATGTGATATCTTTATTAAAAACTGAAACAGCAGATTCCAGTCTTATACATATTTTAAGATGGAATGCTTGTATGTAAGAATGTTTCTAATGCATGCATTAGTTTCAGTTAAAGCAGATTGCAATAACCAAAGGAAGAGTCAGTTTTTATGATCTATATATTTATCGAGTCTGAAATCTGGCCATGTCATTAAATCCACAGTGGTCACCAGAGGAACACCTGTGTAACACGTCTGTGAACAGTGCTATTGTATGGTCTTCCTAACACAGAGTGCCTTGTAGTCCTCATTTGCTCAATTGCTGCTCCTTCACTTGAAAATATTACAGCAAATAGCACTTTGTTGTCTATTGGCCTTTATGCTTGCTTTTGTAGTTATCAAGTACTTGTTTTATGGATTACTATTCTTTTTAAGTACTGGCAAATGCCTTTATTGTTCATTCAAATACAACCGAAAGTTAACGTAAAGAAGAAAATTTATTTCAAAATTATCTCACATTATTAAATTATTTCATCAAACATGCTTTACCAGCCTACGTAGTACCATAAATAGCCCTCCTCATTGTCTGCACCACTGGAGGAACTACATTCTAGTAATTGCTTCCTCAGATATACAAGTTTGGTTACAGATAGAAGAAAAAATTCACAATGACATCATTATTTAAAACACAAGCACACACAGTATTCATTGCTTGTGAAAATTCTTATAAAACTGTACTGGTTTTGAACAATACAATTCTAAAGAAATCAAATTTCCTTATACTAGCTAAATTTCATTTACTTAGATAGATATCATTTTAAATTTTAACTGAACTTATTTATCAAGTGGCTAATATAAAGATTCATTTTTATGTTTAATTAAAATCACTAGTAATTAGTGAGATTTATTAATTAGATATCACTTAAACATTTAACTCAATATGCACTCTTTGGCTGCATCCAGTAAAATTGATCAACTTTCCCTAATTATATGGAATTATTAGCATTTTATTATAAAATAATTTTGGAAATTTAGATAGTTTCTTAAAAACATCACTTTAGAAATGACTACATGTATGTTATCTGTATGAAGTGCTTAATGGGTAGCATATCTACATTATTTCTGTGTACAAGGGCCTTCTGGAGCTGAGCTTGTTTAATTATGCTGATGAAGTGCCCAACACAATGATTTGATACTAGATATGATTTATTTCTATGCCTATGGGTTTCTGGATTTTAATTTCATTTTTATGTTCTAGAAAACTCATGCATTTTGTTACAAACCCTGTCATTATCAACATGGCTCATGTTGAAGAACATGAAACTATCCAAAAATATAATTCTCTTTTACTCTACATATTTTTTTCTTGTTTACACTTCCACACTTTCTTGGCTATCTCTTCAATCCCCCCAGCTTTTTACCTCTTTTGTTTTCTACTGTGGCAAGCCTGTCTACTTTCACTCTTCCTTGCCACTGACTTTGCTTCCTACTCTTTTTTTCTTTTCTTTTTCTGACTTTCACACAAGGGTGCCTCCAGCACATAGAGAAATCAATATAAAGCAACTTCTATTTCCAGCAGCACAGGCTTCCTTTAGCACTGAAAACTTCTATAATGTACACTGGTTACAATAACAACCACACAGAGATAATTACTGAGCTAATAATTACCTTCTGTTGACAATTGTATCACATGCTAAATTTTTAATGCTGAAATCATGAAAAAAGAAACAGAAAAGCTCACAGGAGATATGAATTGTAGATTTTTCTTTAGTTATACTTTCAAAAATGGTTTTAGTAAAATAATTTAAATAACTTATTTCATGTTCTGGTGTCTTAAACTCTACTAATGTACCTAATAGGGTATGCTTTTTAAAACTCTGCCATCAGAGAAGCCAGACAAGTCCATGATGTTTTGGGTCTCTACTGTCACCCAAGCACTGGGGAAGTATGGGCTATTTATATTTTTTTGCTTTTGCTTTATTTTGTATTACTTTTAGTTTTTTAATTAGAATTTTTGCATATGAAAAAAATCACATCTTATTCTATGTTATTTAGAAGGATTGATTTCTGAAGGAATGGTCATCATAGTTTTCTTAATTTAACAAGCTCCTGATGTTGTCTGATTTTGCAGAACTGCTCAATTTCAGAAAACTCCTTTAAAATATTGTAGTAGTTTTGGTTGAAGCAAGAAGAGACACCAAGACATCTAGCTTTAAGGTGAATTTCTTGGTGCTGTGGAGACATAGGCAGTTAGGGTGCTCCACAGCTTTGCTTAACTCCATGTCCAGAGGCAATGATACTTTTTACATTTAGCTCCTATTCGTATTGACTGCAGAACTGATCCCTTTTCTTTTCTTCCCCATCCATTAAACATCAGACCCTTTTCTACAGATAGAGCTGAGGTAAAACCAAATCACGGAAACCACAGAGAAGTCCATAAGCGTGATCAGTCACTTCAGAGCACCCCCACCATAGCATTAGTTGTACTAAGATAATACAGTTGATGGGAGTTTATTTTACTTCATTTATTATTTTTTTAATATTTCGTTGTTTTCACAAAGCCATTTGGAATAGGTTGTTTCTGTGCCACCCATGATTAGGGTTTCCAATCTTCACAGACAATTTAAGGTTCACCTTTCTCAATTTCTGATTTAGCTACATTTACTACTATAGTATGTGCACCTGAAAATAATGATGCCAAAATAAATGCATGCTCTCTGTGTATTAAAAAAAAATTCTGCCAGTTTGTTTGTTTTATTTCTTAGTGTAAGTGGTAGGAATTACATTTCAATAGTGGCTACTAGTAGAACTAAGAGAAGTTAATAATATAAAAGTATAGAATCAGAGAGACTGGCTTCGGTTCCTGATTCTACCACCTACTTGGTACGCGTCTACTGTCTGACTCTTCTATGCCTTGGTTGTAATGACAAACAGGTCAGTTCTCACTAAGTAAATATTAACTATGGCATAAAATCTTAACATGACATTGTAAAAACTTCATAGTCTCAGAGATACTAGGTTGTAAAGAGAATTTTAAAGTTCAGGACTTAAAATGATCCTACATGTATCTCAGGATTCTAGGCTTCACAGATTCTTTAACTTTGGACTCTCTGCGATTTCTGATTTTAGAACATTTTCTAATAGAATTTGTCAAATGAACTATTTTCATGACACCAAAGTAAGCATTGCTTAAATATTGTTAAAAGAATTATGTCATATTTGTCTGATATTGTTCTTCAATTTTATAATTTCTAATGTATGACTAAAGACAAATTATATGAATGAAACAGAAAAGTCCTGTAGATAATTTTCTTAGTGTCTTCTAGATGTCTAGAAGTGTACTTTGAAACCATGCTTCATCAAGCTGCAACTTGGAGTTCTTTAGGAGTTTTTCCTAAGTTTCTGAAAAAATTAAAATTATTTATTGTAAAATTTTTCATATAAATTTTTAATAAAATAATTTTGTGATTTGATGTGACTGCTAGTATCACTATGCACCCATGGCAGAGATAGGCAGATCCCAAGATCTAGCTTCCCAGTCCACACAAAGAAAGTAGTGAGCTCCAGTTTGGACAGAGACACTGATTCAGGGATATATAGTAGAAAGTAAAGAGAAAGATACTTGGTATACTGCCCTGCACTGTACATTCCCATGGGTGTCTATCCTGGTCTGCATACTGATCTCCCCTTTTTCCTCATCATCCACCAAATAGAATTTCAGATTGTCACAGACATGCTCATCACATTCTAGTTTCTTCTGGGTGGCTTTAACAAATGATTTCACCTGCATATCCTAAGACCCCTAGCTCCAGATGACCTTGCGATCTGAGGTCACTACACACACACACACACACACACACACACACACACACACACACACACACACACACACACAGAGAGAGAGAGAGAGAGAGAGAGAGAGAGAGAGAGAGAGAGGGCGGGAGTGACAATATGAAGTATTTTCCTTGTTTAGATAGGCTTCCATAGTTTTCAGCCTCCTCAAATTGTTTCTTTCTTTTCTGCTATCTGCATCTAATTTAATAATTCTTTACAACTATCCATGAGTGAAATGAAATAAATGTGACTACTGATGGAATACCTGTAACAAATAGTTTAGTTAGATGCATTTTAAATATTAATTTTGTTATTTAACATTTTCATTTTTGCTATTCTGTACATACATATATATAGTTTTTCCCCCAAATGTCTAATATGTATACCATTTCTATTTAGAAAGTTGAATTATTTGAAATTGTGCATGGGATACTTAATAATCTTTCTAAAACAAAACATTGTAACATTGGGTATTTAGCAAAGTAGTTTCCCTCCTCCTCTTCCTCCTTCTCTTCCTCCTCCTCCTCCTCTTCCTCCTCCTCCTCTTCTTCCTCCTCCTCTTCTCCCTCTTCCTCCATTCCCTTTCCCCTTCTTACCCTCTCTTCTTCCCTCCCTGTGTCCCCCTTTCTCTTCCTCTTTAGAAGAATGCAATTATATTCTGAGTTGCTGTTTATAAATCTTCACAAATAAGTAGAAAATAATTTCTACTTATTTTCTTAGGATTATTTAAAAAGGATTATTCTTACTTAGGATTATTTAAAAAGGATTATTCTTACTTAGGATTATTTAAAAAGGAAAAATATAAACAATAGAAAGGGTGCCATCATTAATGAAATAGCAATAAAAGGTTTATAGAGTCACA